ATATACAAAAATTTTCAATCTAAATAATTTTCTCTTTTTGAGACAGGGTCTCACTATATAGTTCAGGCTGGCCTTGAACTCGCTATGTAGCCCAGGCCGGCCTTTTTTTTTTTTTTTTAATTTTATTTTAAAGAGAGTAGTAAATGAGAAACAACGAAACAAAAGAACAATAGCAGCATACCAGTATCACAAACATAAATAAACCAAAGCAAGAACATTTAAAGTGATCCAGGGTTTGAAGACAAAATAATATGAATTAACAGTGGTTGTTATATTACATATTGCTATCCTCAACAGTGTTGCTCAGATTACCAGATGTAAGAATGGAAGATCGTTTAAACCATTAAAGAGAACAAGAAAATAATTATTAGATAAAACATTAGAGATAATACAGTTTCACTAGACAAGATGGTAGGAATTCACCATGGTAATTCCATTGCATATTGTTATCTTCAAATCAGTTGCTGAGATTACTAGATATAAGCATGCAAAATTGATCAGAACATAAAAAATTTTAAACATTACCCAAGCCAGCCTTGAACTCAGTGATCCTCCTGCCTCAGCCTCCCAAACGCTGGGATTAAAGATGTGCGCCACCACGCCTGACTCCATCTCAATAATTTTTTTTTGTTTTTGTTTTTGTTTTTGTTTTTCTCCGGTACTGGGAACCGAACTCACAACCTTGCGCTTGCCAGGCAGGCGCTTTGCCGCTGAGCTAAATCCCCAGCCCTCATCTCAATAATTTTTAAATATACGGTTTGGTAGCGTTAAGCACTATATAGGCATTGTTGTGTAACCATCTCCATCATCCATCTCTAGAACAATTTCAGCTTCCTCAAATGAAACCCTATGCTTATTAGAACAGCGACTCTAGATTCTCTCTTCCCAATGCTTTTCCCACCCCTGGTTACAACCACTCTGCTCTCTATGAATTTCACTAGTGTAGATTCAAGCTTGAAGCAGAATCGTACAGTACCTGTCATCCCAAGTGGCTCATGTCACTTTATACAGTGCCTGCAAGGTTCATCCAGGCTACCGCATTATCAGAATGTAATTTTAAAGCTAAATGATATTCCATTGTATGCAAATACTTGTGCTCTTTTATTCATTCATCTATTAAGGGCCATTTGTGTTTATACCTTATTGCAATAGTGATTTCATCATAGTTTATATTTTGCAGCAATTTATCTTTATTTTCATATGTATTATTTTTTCATATGAATGCATTAAGTCCCAGGAAGAACCATAAACAATTTTTTATCTTTATTTTTGGCCACTTACTCAGTTTTTAGTTTTGGCAGCCCAAAATACTGGAATTTCTGACTGCATGCAGTGATAAGGAGCTTATCATTTAAGTCATGTACCTTTTTCCTGTGTTCTTTTCCAAAAGTGAAAACAGTATTTTCCTGAGACAGTGATGGTGAACCTTTCAGAGACCGAGTGCCCAAACTGTAAGCCATAACCCACTTACTTACTGCAAAGCGCTAAGACTGCGATTAGACCTGACTGCAGCGCTCGGCTGTGCGGCCATTTGGCTCCGGTGCCAACGGCGAGGGCTCTGCACGCTTGCGGCGGCACCCGTGCCATAGGTTCGTCACCACTGTCCTAAGGTATGACCATGTCAGTTTGACTTATTTTTGTAAGTGATAAATCTGAGCAAACAGAAGAGTAAAATAACAATTACTTAAGAAGCATAGCAGGGAAAAATAACTGCACCTCTTGCCTTCCCCGATATTACACAATTAACAAGTTAAATGAAGAATTTGGCACATGGACACTAGACAGTTCCTTGTATTATGAACAAAGCTGGCTTGGACGCAGGCAGCGTACCCTGCTTACAGGCAGGTGGCTCTCCTAATCTGTACCCGGAATTCAGTAGACCTCCCCAGTACCTCTCAAGTCAGTGCTGATCTGAGACAGTCCTACTACGGGGTCTTCTATCCCCTCAGCCCAGCTCTGTCTGCCTCGGCATCCTTCACACTCCTCAGCAACGGCACCTGCCCTGCCCCCAACAGCTTGTTTTATTCAACCGCCCCTCTACTCACTCGAATGGTTTTACTGAATGCCTATGTCAGTATGCACTCACAGCAAACCCAGCAGCTGACCCTTCCGACCTTAAGACCAGGATAGGAAATACTGTAAAGCAGAGAATTAGATTCGAGGCAAGGCGCAACTTCACAAAGTAGGAAGAGAAGCTGTCTTCAGGATGTCATGTGGCCTCAAGGTCAGGGAGCACCTCCCCCGTGTATTTATACTGTGCACACAGCATAGGTCAGGAAACACTTAACAAATTAATGAATGATGTACGTGAAAACACGTCGTAAGCTATCAAAGTACCACGTGGATATGTCATCGTTTTGTTCGTTGGGTAGATCTACTCTTATTCCGCTTCTCTGGACTATCCAAAGGAATATTAAGACAGACCACAGAGCCAGGCACAGGGGCACTTGCCTGACCCAGAATTGCTAAATTCAAGGCCAGACTGTCTCAAACAGCTAAAACAAAAAGACAATAGAGAAAACAGTGGGGTTCACTAAGGGCATCCACTCATCTACTCATCTGGACATACCTGGGCCTCTCTTCCTAGGGGAGAGTTTGAAGCTACTAAGTATGGGATTGACTTCTCTTTTGATGTGTCTGACCATTCCCATTTTCCTCCAAAGCACAAGTCAACAAAGCTGATTTTGAAAATAGTGCTAAAAATGACTGTTTGTAGGTACTGGAGGATGAAGTACTCTGTTTCACCTAAATTAGGTAACAGTAATTTGATCTGAAAATGTACAAGGAGCAAGTTACCATTGCCAATGAAATGCTGCACAGTGAAAAAAGGACTCATTGTGTCCATCCTGGCACTAGGGTCTCTGGAAAGGACATGGAAACAGAACTGGGGTGTGTGTGTGTGTGTTTATTTACAGTACAGGAGATTGAACCCGGGACCCGACTGCAAGCTAGGCAAGCACTCCCTACCACTGCTACATCCCAGCCCTTTTCATTTTGAGATAGGGCCTCACGAAGCTGCACAGGCTGGCCTCAAACTTGTGATCCTCCTGCCTCAGTCTCTCAAGTAGCTGGGACTACAGGTATGTGCCACTGCAACCAGCCCTGTCATCATTTTTGAAGCACCTAGACTATGCCAGTTACTGGGTGTAACATGCCTCCCTTCTTGGTTTTTTGGTTTTTTTTTTTCCGGTACCGAGAACTGAACTCACGACCTTGCGCTTGCCAGGCAGGCGCTTTGCCGCTGAGCTAAATTCCCAGCCCCACGCCTCCCTTCTTTTAACACTTACAAACCCTGACATGGAAATCATACCCATCATTTACATTTTCAGGTGTCTCTTAGTAAGGGTCTCTTAGTAGCCAATGGTTTTTGTGTATCTAACACATGTATTTAGCCTTCATCTTTGAAAGATACTCCGAATATATCAGTAACATATATTCAATTTTAAAGTGTTCCATATGTACTTCCAAATAATGTATTGTTGTTGGCATTAGTACTTAACTGTGTTAATACCTTTCACTAATTGCAAAGGAAAACTCATTTAATGGTCCAAAATAGCCTCCAAGCTAGTTTCCTCCTTTGCCTCCTGATCATCTGATTATACAAATGTCCCTTTTAAACTTTTGTTTTTCCTACATATGGGCAGTTTCTTTAGAACAATTTTCTAGTGTCTAATATGCTGTTAAACTCTTTCACTAAGCTTTTTAAAAATCTGCTTAGTCACTTTAAAATATCCTGCTCAGTATTCTGTTGCATACATATTTTAAATTCTGAATCTGGGAAGTCCAATATTCAAAGGCTTCACAAGTCTGATTCTGCAGTCTTGTTTCTGCGTTGTTGGTCCCCCTTCATGGTACTTGTTTCCCAGTAGGTTTTGTAATCTGTGGCCTTGGGTCATATTAGATTCCTTTGTATGATTCCTGTCCATTTGTACCACAGACCAAGAATACCACTAGCCTGGGGCTAATGCAAACTAAAACTTATTTTGAGTTTTAAATTTTAAATTAATTAGTTATTGGTACCAGAGGTTGAACCAGAGTCTCTGCAATATACTGCATCCCCAGCCCTATGTTTTGTTTTTTACAGGCCTGTGTCACAAAGCTAGGCATGAGCGTTTTTTAAGAGTCTTTATAGCTGGCCGTGGTGCTGCACACCTGTAATCCTAGCACTTGGGAGGTTGAGGCAGAAGGATTGCTGTGACTTCAAGGCCAGCCTGGGCTATACAGTGAGACCCTGTCTCAAAAAATCAAACCAAAACAATGAAAAAAGAATCTAATTCTTCAAGTAGTAGAGTTACTGCTAAACACCATGATGGAAAATAGTTTTAACTTTGACACAAGGACTTAAAGTACTAGAAGGGACGAGGTAATAAGCTACTTATTTCTACAAGGTCATTTAATTTTATTTCATTTTATTTTAAGGCAGGGTTTCACTATGCAGTTCAGGCTGGCCTTGAATTCACTCTGTAGCCCGCACTGGCCGTGAACTAGTGGCAATCCTGCTGTCTCAGCTCCTGAGTGCTGGGATTACAGGTTTGTGCCACCATGCCTGGCCAACATTAATTCTTCCTAGGGATACAGACTTAGGTGACGGTTAAGTTAGTGTAAAATATAAATATATATATATGCAAATACATACAAACCATGTGTTTATGCATATAAACATTCATATAAATCAAACCAGCACTGTCCAGCACCGTAGTTGCTTGGACATATTTGAGTGTGTCCCCCAAAAGTTCCTGTACTAAAGGCTTGGTCCTCACTGAAGGAGGTGTGGACTTTAAGAAGTGCGGCCTAGTAGGGCTCCTGAGGTCATTCGGGCCAAGTCCTCAGCAGGGACTCTTGGGAGTCTTCTCCAGCCACCCTTTCCAGGGTGTCATCTCTTCCTCCCACACATGTTCCTGACATTTGTGATTCCTCTGCAAGAGCTCCAATGATGCTGTTTGGACTTTTAGTCTCCAAAACTATGAGCTAAATAAATCTTTTCTCTTTACACAGCAAGCCTGCTTCTGGTATTTTGTTTTAATAGCAAAACCAAAACAAGACAAACAAACCTAAAGGACTAGTGCAAGTACTTCGGTGTCATCAGATATATGACTAATAATTACACTCTATTTCAAAGACACTGAGTAAAAAGAAATGAGTTAGGTGGAGTTGTCTTACACCTATCACTAAGTCTCAGAGACACTTTTGAGCCTATGAATGGATTTTCTCCGCAGAAGGATATTTTTAAGTACCATCATACTTTAAAAATTCTCATATTTATATCAATCAAATCAGATGTTATGATTAACATAAAAATTAGTAAAATTACTTTATTTCATTATAATATCCATCTCCAATAGCCTGAAATAAAAATTTCCAAGGTGTTAGTTGAGCTGTATGTTATTTTCTTTTAAAATGTCTCCTTTTTCCTTGAAATAATTTCGGAACCACTCTATGTGTTCAACCTTCTGTTTAACGCTCAGATATGGGTTTTTGGAAAGGCCACAAGTCACCAGCTCCATGAAGTGGCGAATTGGTCCTTGTTTTGGAAAATCCTCCAGGTATTTATCCAGAAATATATGCTCATGAAATTCTGAACCATCATCATCAAAGCCTAGAAAATGAGACAAAAAAATTGCAATTTTCAATATAAAGCCTACATCATAAAATTAACATTAATGAGGTAACATTGTTAAAGGCATGAATTTTGGAGTTAGACTTAGGTTTGTCCACCAATTTAACAACTGACCTTGGACAAATTACTTAACTTCTCTGAGTATCAGCTTCCTCAGGCACTGCCTTCTTGAGGTTTTAATAAAGATTAAATAGACAAGCCTAGAACACATGTTCAACAGATAAATGCAACTATGCTAATGAATATTTTAATACCTAGGGCAACCACTAAGAAATACAAACTGTTTTTAAAAATATGTCAATAAAACAAGAGGGACTCATGAATAAAAAGTTCAAGTAGTCTTTAAAGCCAGGCATCCAGGCATCACAGCACATGCCTATAATCCTATCACTGGGGAGGCTGAGACAAGAGGAGTTCAAAGCCAGTCTGAAATACATAGCGAGACCTTGTCTCAAAAACAAAAAATTTTAAAAAATGAAAACACTGAACTAATACACAGTATATTCTCTGAATGGAATGGCATCAAACTGAAAATCAGTAAAAGACAACAGGCCAGGTATGGTGGTACACTCTTCTAATCCCAGGGCCCGGGAGGCAGAGGCAAGAGGACTGCTGTGAGTTCAAGGCCAGTGTGGGCTACATAGCGAGACCTTGTCTCAAAAAACCAAACCAAACCAAAACAAACCCCTCAAAAAACACTGAAAAAATTAAAAAAAAAAAAAGACTTGGTTCTTTTAATCTTACCTGATACCTCTCAGAATACACAAACTATAGCACTTTTGCCCTTCTAAGTTTATTGGTACAATTTAGATATACATAATGGTCACATTCATCATAGGGAATTTGTACCTTACACGACATATCCTGAATCCTCTTTTTTCCCAATCCCCTTCCCTCCCTTCTTCCTCTCCTTATTTATGAAGCTTTGTTTTCATTTTGTTCTTTTATCAGGTTTTTTTTCCCTTTTCCCTTCCTTCCTTTCTGCCACCCCCGCCCTAGTTCCCCTTTTTTTGAACAATTTCTTCCTATTTCACAATACCTTTTATACACTTTGGTCCTTACTTGTACCTTCAGTATCTCACACCAGAGAAACAATGCAATGTTTACACATGTGTGTCTGATTTACTGTTTTGAGACAGGGTCTTGCTATGTATTTCACGCTGACCCTGAGCTCACTAATACAGCCCAGGCTGGCCTCAAACCCATGGCAATCCTTCTGCGTCAGTCTTCCAAGTGCTGGGATTGCAGGTATGCACCACCATGCCTGGTGACAAACCATAATACTTTGAGAAATATATTTAGTAGGGCTTGGTGGGACAAGGTTATAACTTAGTACTCTGGGAATAAAACACAAAGATCATCATTCAAGCCCTGCTGGGGAAATTTAGCAAGACCCTATCTCAAAATAAAAAAGCAGCCGGGCATGGTGGCTCACACTTGTAATCCCAGCACTTGGGAGGCTAAGGCAGGAGGACTGCCGTGAGTCCAAGGCCAGCTTGGGCTACATAGTAAGTTTGAGGCCAGCCTGAATTACAGAGCAAGACTGTGTCTCAAAAACCAAAATAAATAAATAAAAAAAGGACTGAGTAGCTCAGTGTAAAGGCCTAGAGCTCAATTTTCAATCTCTAGTACTACGGGGGGTGGGGGGGATATAAAACACAGCATGCTATGTTACTGCGTGTACCATACAAATATTCCAAGTAAGAATTTGCTGAAGGGTTTGTAAGTTTCTATAGTTTTCCCATAGAAGGTAATACTTTATGAAAATATAATAAATATTTTTGCTATTTAAGCTTTCGTTTCATTCATTAATCCAAGCAAATAAAAGTTTACCATTTAAAAGATCACACTGATACTATAACACCATGAAGGTTAAAATATGGACATTTCCTAAGACTATCCTCACCATGAAGGTAAATAAATCTATTCTGATTGAGAATGCACCTAGAAAATTTAATGAGAATGTTTAACTCATTACAGTATAGAGAGTAATGAGAATGTTTAACTCATGCCATGAAAGAATAACATAGTGACACTGTTTTCCTTTTGGTTAAGAAGTTTAGAAAATGTCCAGGAACATAGATAATATTCCAGTGTCAACTCAAAGTATCTACATTGCGTAGCCAAAGGTTTCCAAAGCTTCCTGACCTTGCTGCCCTGAGCAGCATATACAAGTACCTTGCACCTCATTAACACGGTGGTTTGATGACTAAAAGACACTGGTGTAGGACCCGAAGGCAGGGATGGGGCTGGGGTACAGCTCCATTGGCAGAGCGCTCGCCTGGTAGGTGTTAAGGCCTTGGGTTCAATCCCCAGCACAGAAAGAAGGGGAGGAAAAAGTCGTAGAAAAGCTGTAATGTTCTCCAAATCTGAACTATCATGTCATGGCCAGTATTTGGTATATGAGAAGAGAAGCCAAAGAATGCTTTGCTTAGCAACTAGAACACTGCCACCTTCCACAGTTCTCAACTTTTATGTCAAAAAAATTCATGATGTTTTTTGTCATATGTTTATTTATTTTCCTTATCAACTATCTACAACTAAATACATTTCTAAATTTTTCTTTTAATTGTCAGATTTCTCCTAGGACAGCACGAAGGTATTTACCGTGGGTTTTTGTTGTTGTTTTGGGGACAGCCTCCTCCTATGTAGTTCAGGCTCGTCTTGAACTCAAGAGCAATCCTCCTCCCTTAGCCTCTGAGTGCTGGGATTATAGTCATGCGCCACCACACCAGGCAGTTTACAGTATTTTGAGATTCACATAAATATCTGGGTTCTCTCTCTCTTTCCTTTTTCCCTTCCCTCCCTCCCTCCTTCTTCCCTTTTTATTTTTTAAGACAGGGTGTTGCTATGTAGTTCAGGTAGCCCTTGAACTCACTATGTAGCCCAGGCCGGCCTCAAACTCATGACCAAACACCTGCTTCAGGCTCCTGAGTGCTGGGATTACACGCATGGGCGACACTGGCCCATGCCTGGCCCCCACCTAGACTCTGAAACTGACCATCTTCCAGGGATGACGTCTCCCAGTCCAGGGCATGGTAACCCTCTGAAATGAACACTCACCGGCTTCATTGTCGATTGGGAACTCCCACAGTTTCCCTTCTTTTGTCCACTGGATCATTTCCTCAAGTCCATTCTGAAAGGGCTGTTCCTTTACCAGGGCTAACTGTTTTGCAAATTCCACATCCCAGAGAGAAAGTGATGTTTCTGTATCAAAAAAAATTTTAAATAAGCATAATCATGCCAGTAATTAATATATAATGAAAGGTCACTCCTTAAGAGCTAATAATACAATAAAAATTATTTACAAAAAGTAGGACTAGGGGCTGGGGATTTAGCTCAGCGGCATAGCACCTGCCTGGCAAGGGCAAGGTTGTGAGTTCGATTCCCGGTACTGTAAAAAACCAAAAAAAACAAAACAAAACAAAACAAATACAGGACTAAAATAACGGCAAGCTTTACTTTTTTACTTATAAGCTGTGCTTTAATTTCTGCAATCAAATAGAATGCAGTGAGAATATAAGTATAAACTTTCATTGTACATCCAGAAAATAAAAGGCACATTTATAGAGATAGAACTTATTCTTTAAAAAATTTTCAATTAAAGCTAGTTTATCTTCAGTGTAAAAACTTGGAAGGCATAGACAAACTCAAGATATTATATATGGTAATTTTTTTTTCTTTGAGACGGGATCTCACTATGTTGCTGCTCTTGAACTCAGTATGTACCCCTGGCTGGCCTTGAGTTCATGGTGATCCTCTTGCCTCAGCCTCACAAATGCTGGGATTATAGGTGTGCTCAACCAATGCCCGGCTTATACAGTAAATTATTAATGCACATTTCCAAACTTGCAAAGTGCAGCACTTTAAACAAAGTAAATGGTCTCCTTTCAGCTTTTATTGTTAAGCACAGTCCACATCTGAATAGTGAATAAAAATTTCACAATACATAAACCCACGGAGAATTCTGTACACAAATACAAGTTATAGAAATCTGATTTCAAACATAAATACATCAATCATCACGACCTTACATGTTACAGCAGCGAGCTTTAATTTTTGTATTACTACCATGCCAGGTAATTACTGCCCTCTCTACCGGAAAGGGGGAAAAAAGGTTTTTATAAATACACGTTTATAGGTGACTTTGATCTCTAAAGCTCAGTCTGTCTGTTTTTATCTTTTTTGTGGTACTGTAGATTACACCCTAGGCTTTCAAACTGACCTACATCTCCCAGCCCCTTTTCATTTTTCATTTTGAAACAGGGTTTCTCTAAGTCACTAACTTGCCTAGGCTGATCCTGAACTTGTGATCCTCTTGCATCAGCCACCTAGAGTGCTGGGATTACAGGCACACGCGGCCACCTGGCCAGACTGTCTATTCTGAGTCTGTCAGAGAGGTCACTATGAGCAGTGGCACATGCAGGAGGCTCACAAGACTGAGGTAAGCCTGGGCAACTTAGAGAAGCCTTGTCTCAAAATGACAATAAAAAGGGGTGGGAATGAGTTCAGTGGAGGAGCACTTGCTTAGCAGGTGTGAGCCTTAGACGCAATCCCTAGTACTGTGGGGAAAAAAGGGGTCACTTTCGTATGACTATTACAAAAGACCAAGTAAGTTAATTTAACAGGGTGATGACAAAAATAGTAAGGGATACTGAGCATTCACTCTGTGCTAAAAATGTATTTAGGTAACACAAACTCCTTTACTCTTCAGAAGTTCGCTGTAAGGTATTGCCACTTTGGCTTAACATCGCTATCATGTTACATGCTTTAATCATTCATTTACTTTTACAATTTAAGCCATCTCTCTAGAATGAGCCATAGTTCCACCACTTATGCTCATGAGAATGTAAGATGGTACAAGCACTCTGGAAAAAGTTTGAGAGCTCCTGAAAAAGTTAGGAACCCCTGTCATTCAACATAGCCATCTCACCCCTGGGCATCTACCCAAGAGAAAATAACACATGTCCACACAAAGACCTGTATGTGAAAGTTCACGCCAGCTTTATCTGTAACAGCCAAATGTAACCGAAATGTCTGTTAACAGATAAATGGATAAAAAATGTGATACATCCACACAATTATATATTACTCAATTATAATTACAGGGACATGTAACAGCATGGATAAATCTCAAATCATGGTGCTGAATGAAAGAAGCCAGACACAAGAGTACCTGCTGCGTGATTTGTGATTTCATGCACATAAAACTCTAAGAGATGCAACCTAATCAATAGTAACGGAAAGCAAATCAGCAGTTGCCTGAAGACAAACACTGCAGTGATGGATGACCTCCCGTCTCATTACACTAGCTACACTTTTGCGCTTTGCTGTAATTATCCCCTTAAAAGAAATTCCCAGGAACAGAATGTCTGAGTCAAAAGTATGGATCACGTGATTATTCTCTTGTCTCTTTCCTTAGCCAAGATTACTAAACATCCCAACAAGCAGCTCATTTGTTCTATCTAGGTAAATCTGATTTTGCTTTTTCTGACTGTTTTTATGGGCCTTTATGTGTATGAACATGTCTACCCACACTGACTGGGTAGGTAATTAACTAACTGTACTTACAGTTTTATCACAACGGTAAAATAACAATTAGCTTGGCTGTTTTTCATTCAGTGGATGCTGACTGACCTATACCTTTTCTATCATCGTATTATCACACTGGGTAATAGCGGCAACCATTTATTAAATGTCTACTGGTTCCAAGCACTGAGCCTGATACCTTTTTCTTTTAGATTATCTATTTAACCCTTGAGAGTTATGTAGTAGCCTTCATTTCATAGGTGGGGAAGAGAAGACTAAGAAAGGTTAATGTGGTAGAATCTGAGTTTGAATGTAGTTCTACTTAAAACCAAATCTGTTTAACAGTAGGATTTCAGAGCCAGGCATGGTGGCACAAACCTGTAATCTCAGGATCTGGGAGGCTGAAGCAGGAGTTTGAGGCTTTGAGATTAGCCTGGGCTACTTCAAGGCCAGCCTGCAGTCCGAACTGCATAGTGAGACCTCATAGTATGAAAATAGCAGTGCACGACTGCTTAATGTAAGTTTCATATTGTTGTTATTCTTGTATTTAATTGGGAACAAGAGACAGTCTTTAGACTATTCAAGTATAGCTTATTAAAACACAGTACCATCATTAAGTTATTATATAAATATGTATATTTTCTTCAGAGTATTCACAGTGTAACTGTCTTACACTGTTTTTTATTTTGTTTTGGAAACAAAGCCTTACTGGTAGCCCTATGTAGCCGAGGCTGGCTTAGGACTTGTAGTACTTCTGCCTCAGCCTCCCAAATGCATGGATTATGTATGCACCACCAAACCAGATGCTTCTTTTGGGGGTATCTTTCAGGATCTTCACACTGAGCTACTTCCTAAGTTCTTTTGATTTATTTCTTTTAGTCTCATTAAGTTGCCCAGGTAAGGTTTGAACTTGGGACCATTCTGCCCAGCCATGCCCAGCTCCTTACACGGGTTTTATAAAATACACGAAACTTCAGTGTTTGTATGCTAGCTCGTTTCCATTTTAGGGACAACATTTAAAACTTAAAAGTAAGTTGGCTCCTTGCAGAATGCAAGTGTCTCTCCTGGCTGCTTGTCAGGTGGGCAACAGCCTCTGTCTTGACAGTAAGGTCGTGTTTGAGGCAAGCTTAAGGGACCCTCCTGGGAGAGGGGAGATGGGTTTTCTCCCCAGGCCTGGGGGTCGGGCATTTCCTTCTCATGTACACAGCAGAATGAGGCTTCACAATTCCAGGCTGTTGTTCTTTCAGCTTGGCCTTCAGTGCCAATGAGCAAAACTGACTGAACTGGATCAATGCCTTTCCTTCATGGCTATGCATTTTATAGCTTGGTTTGTTAAAAAAAAAGATTTAAGATCTAAGGTAACTAATTCCTATTATTTGTAAGTCTCTTGCCTAGGTGATATAGGATACACAAACGTAAATGAGATCTAATCCCTAATATCAAGGAGTTTATTGAATAGTGAGAAAATAAGATGTTCATACTAGTTAGGGGCTATAAGAATAAAGGAGCCTGAGAGGTTGCTTTAGGAGAACTAATTTCATGTGCAATACTATTTCTACTAAGATTCAAAAGCTAATCTCCACTCTTCACAACTGTGCACTATCTGTAAGCTGGAAACCACTTATGCTGAATTTCTCCATGTATCAGGAAAGCAAATTTAATGTCCAGAAAGAGTATATAGTACTTGTCTCTCTTGATGGACTTAAAATGGAGAATTTGAAGGATCTGACATCTTAAAGAGATGGCAAGAAGACAAGAATAAAGGCTACTATAGGATTGTGCCTGGAGGTGGTGACACACACCTGTAATCCAAACACTTGGGAAGCTGAAGCAGGAGGATTGCTGCAAGTTTGAGGATAGCCTGAACTACACAGGGAGACCCTATCTCCAAAAAAAAAAAAAAAAAGACTAACCATGTATTAAGGAAAAAACACTAAAATTTCTGTTTGGCGTGTTCTTCCCATGTCCAATAAGTTACTTCTACAAATGCTACTTCCTATTCTAGATACTCAGTTGCCTAAAAGCAGGTACCACAGCTCTCTGTATAAGGGCACAGTATTGCCAGGAACATGGTAGGTGACTCTTAATGATCTAACCCAAATTAGTAGTGCTCTATCCCTCTGGATTATTCCGCTAGTAACAGTGACCCATAGTCCCAAAGGAAGTGACATTTTAAGTGGGTACCTGACCAAGGCCAGCAATGTCAACAATATATTCATAAGCAGGATCCAAGCCAATGACAAGACAGAATATCAAAATACCCAACTATCATGCAATCAAAACATTAGAACATCTCTGATGTTTCTAATGTTTCTCCATTTAAGATATAGTGCTATTTTCTTAACAAACCTGTTAGAGGAGCTTCTTCATTAAGTTGCTTAACGTCAAAAATATTAAGTCGCTTCCCTTTGAATAAATTTTTAAGACTAAAAATGAAAAAAAAAAAACCACATTTTAGTAAGACATTTATAAATGATCCACAAATACTGTTTAGGATAAAAAAAAACCTTTTTACATGAAATATGCTTTGTAGAAATTAAAAGTAATTCCATGGACTCACACCAGGTATGTAGTAAATTGGTATGTTTTGGGAACTGATAACAACACTTACATTTCTGCTTCACAATACAAGAAGCCAGTTAAAGCAGCTTAATCTTCAAATATCTAATTGAAACAATTAGCTTAATTTG